TAACTGCAAAAAACAGCTGAAGTTTTTGATTACTGCTGAACTTACCTCTCTTTGTGGCTACTATTGCAGGAAGATAGATGGGTAAGACAGCAATATCATTGCTGTCTAAAGAAGCAGCTGTAAATAAAAACTAACTTACAGTTAACACATCCTCCATGTCTTTTGGTCTGGTGTCCTGTGCCCTTGCTCTCCCTCTGCTTCCATGCCATCCTTCCCTCCTGTCCCTCTGGAGGCAGTACTACCTGCAGGGATTTCATCTCCTGGAGCAGTGTGAAGCTGGATGGCCAGGATCATTGTAGCTGTCCCCAGCAAGGTACCATAATAGAGCACAATGCTGGATGTTGGGGGTCCAGAGGGTCAGCAGAAAGTGGGAAGCAATGGCATCCAAGGTATGTCCTGCAATAGCCTCCCCTGGGCTTTGCTGGCCCAGCTCAGGGCTTTCATACTACCTGGTGAGCAGTCCACAGGGAGCTCTCTGGGAGGTAAGAGCCCTAAAAAAATGGCAAGTACTCATAGTGTCTTTATTATTGAATAGGTCAAATTTAAGTGTAGGTACTTTTATAAGCAGAAAAACCTTCATCTGCCTACCTGCCTATAAACCTAGGCCTGGTTTCACTTCCCCTCTTTCCCCAGACTGGGAACTCCCTGTGCAAACAATTTCCTTGCACTTTCTAAGTGATGTGCAGGGAAAAGGACAAAGATAAGCAAGAATGGCAGACTTGGACCATTTTCTCTGAACAGGAGATAATTTCACAGTATTACAGAGAAACCAAATGTACAGTTGTGGCATCTCCTTTTTGATCTCTGACATGTGATTTTTATTTGTTTCAGTCTTTATTTGGGGCGGGCAAGATTACTGTTCTGACACAACATCAGGGGTCTATGATTGGTGTATTGGCAGCACTACACATACCCTGAAAGTAAAATTCTGCATCTTGTAACAGGATACCTGAAGTGACTTCAGGAAAACTTTAAAATATATCTTTGGTATTAACAGACCCAAACTACTTCCTATTTCTTGGTTTAGATGGATTGATTTATTTCAAACAATCAAAGTAACTGGTGTGACTCCAAGAAATTTTGAGATAGCTTTCAAGAAATTTTGACGTAGCTTCAATTGCACTAAAGATAACTCAGTTGTTTCCTCGTAGAGAAGCAAAAATAAAGACTTACTACACAGGCTGGGAATGCAACATGACATTCCGTACCTACAGAGACAGGAGTACTATACCTCAGGATCTTCAACCAGAGTCACAACTCTTCCAGGCTAAAAAAAAATAATAAAACAAATTAAAAAATTCCTTACAGGCTTTTATTCTGATTCATAAGCAAAGCAAAAAAACCCAATGAAAAGTAATGCAAGGGTCAACAAACTCCTCCAGGACAATCTCAATATGGTCTGATTCTTGGAGTTTCAGTATAAATTTTTTCTGAGAATAGCTTTTGATCTGTATTATTTGTTAATACAGATGTTAAATCCTGAGTGGAAAGTCTATGCAACATAGACAGTAAAGGCTGTCAGAAAAGGAGGTTTTGAATGTCTTTGCTTTTTATGTGCTGTCCAGACTCAATTCGATTCCTGTTTAACATGGTGACAATAATTCATTAATGTAAAACTGTCTAACATGGTGGCAATAATTCATTAATGTAAAACTGTCCTCAGTGCACCTTCCTCAGTTGTGTTGCTTCTTCACAACACTATGTCATTTCTCTCTGTAGTGACAATGAGGTGAACCTTCTCACATGTGTTCAAAAAGTTTATAGACAGGCATGAAATATAATGTAACACAGTACTCTAGCTTGCATAGAACTAAGCAACTGCCAATCCTGGCTTGGTTTGCACTAACTGGGTTCAATGCAAAACCAACCTCCCAGACTTAAATGTTTGAGAAGGTTTATAGAAATCATGCAGATTTGTGTTTCTGATGCCATTTTTTTCTGAAGCTTGCACTAAGAGATTTGAATTCAACATTTATAAAAACATTATTGCTACTTATTCAGGTCTTTCTAAGCCAGCATCACTTTTTTCAGGGTACACTGTTACTGCCTGGTCAAATTCAAGCTGCTTTAATGTACTATTCAGAATAATCCTCTGAAAATCTTAGTTAACACAGCTAACGTGTAAACTGTATTTTTCAAGTAATGGTTATTCTTTTGCATTCTTAATCTAACAAGGCTTTTTCCAATTTAACACCCTGTAAACTATAAATTTATCAATCTATAACTAGTTAGCAGTCTTACTAGAGTGGGAGCTGAGCAGTTCAAAGTGCAAGTTCAAGGTCGACCGAGTGTTGTAGTCAAAGCTTGCAGCCACTGTACCTCACTCAAAGTGCTCTCTCTGTTTGTTTTTTCTTGTACTGATCCTGGAATGTTGGAGCAAGAAGTGTTTTCAGAAGAGTTTTGTTTAACTTGCTGGCTGCTATTTAATTGCTCTTCTTTAAAAGGTATTAATACTGAAGGATCAATTTCACTTGTAGCTCAGCCACAAAAGATAATAATCTCTGATGACCGACGAAGCCTTTCTGTCTTACAAGTAGGAGTAACAACTCATAGACTGCAGCAATACCAAAAGGGATTAACTTGTTGATGCTGAGAGAAAAATGTATTTTGTTAATGCCAAGTGTTTTATATAAAAAAATTAAAATGCATTAACTAGTTTACATAATTACCTTCTCCCTCAGTCTGTCAGAAGAAGCATAGAAATAGAACAAAATCACAGGCTTGTGTGTGTTTGTTGTTGTTGTTTTAAGACTCTGTACGCCTGCATATGATGGTTATGAGTATAATCTTGACTGGGGTAGAAATACAAATACCAGCTGGTGTGGCTGTTTTGGAAGCGTTCCGCTATCAGCGGACACTCCCTGTGAGCAGTTCCCCGAATTTCAGCTAGCCCAGTACAAGTTAATGCAATGGGGTCGCCAAGGATACTTGCAAAAAGGAAGGAAACCAGGCCACTGTGGGCTTTATTCCTTTCTGAAGCCCCAGGAATAGGACTTTATCTGACTGACTAGGGGGTTTTTTAAGTGTTATTTTTAATTTTTTTTTTAATGTCTGGTTTCTTAAGTAGTGGAGGCTGAAGGGATCACACTCTCTTATGTCCCACCCTAACAACTTTTGCACGTGCTTTTCAATTAATCCAAATTCAAGAGAAGAACATAAATTTCCCAACATAATCTTTGCAGAGGGATGATGATAGGTAGTTGAGAAAGTTAGTATTCCCAGTGAGAAAGCAAAGGATAGCTGGAGACCTCACAGCAGCAGACACTGGGCTTGTTCCACCTCTCCAGCCAGGTGAGGCAGTGTCAGGTTTGGAGACAGGAATTGTGTGTGACAGCGTGTAAGCCGGGTGAGAAAGCAAGGCTTTCCACTCAATTTTGAAAGCAGCATGGGAAAGCATTTTGGGGCTCGAGTTCAGAAGGTTGCACAGCTGTATTTGCCCAGCTCTGCTCCAGCCGGGAAAACATGCCTGCCCAGCCTGCCTGGTTTGTTTGCAGTAAACCTTGGTGTTTTTAAAATACTAGGTGCCTAACTCATGCTAGTGCCTGCAGCATGGTGATTTCCCTTGCAGGAAACTAAATGTGAGGGGGTTTAGTATTATCTTCAAGTACCCTGTAAGTTATTTTATAGTGTTTGAGGTTTTAACTAGTGATGTTTAGAACCAGGTGAAAATTTCTTCCACACTACACGTAGAATGCTGTGGTTGATTTTTTTAAAGAATCCTTATGGCTTTTCTGGAAGAGCTCTTTTAAAGCCATATTCCAGTTTTCGAGTGGAATTACCAGATTAGGAAGCATCAGGAAAACATGGTTTCATTAGACAAAATCAGCATTCAAAGTAGGGAAATGTTAAGAGAGCTGTCTCTGCTGTTAAGAGAGCAAGGGTCAGTTTCTATAGAATTATGATCAGTTTGCATTTATAGTGACTAAATTGTGAGCTGTCAACAACAGTCCTGCGACATCAAAGTCATTACTCTAACTTGCTGGGTGCTTCTGTAACCTACGCTTTCTTAAATATTCATTGAGCTGTTTAGAATTATACACTGGCAGGGTGGTGCAGGCTTTCAAAGCAGAGAATGCTATTATTCTCTTTCCAGTGGCTTAAAAATACACGTTTGCATGAAATTGGAAATGCTCACTTTTGGAATGTTAGCTTATTTTTTTTGGGTGCTTTTGTTTTGGTGTCATCCACATAGGAAATGCTTCCTCCTCCATGAGGTTTTTATTTGTAAGTAAAAAAAGCTCAAAACCAGTGAGACACACAGTCAGATCAACGCTTCTGGCCTTAGCTTACTAACTAGGCTTTCCCTTCACAGCCTGGCACCCACACTGAGGTCTCTTCCCGTAGTTCTTGTCTATAATAACAAACTCGGTTACTTTTGAGCTATTAAAATGGACTGACGGTTATTTTTGTTGCCGTTCTTTCTCCTGCTCTAGGCTCATTATGCCGTTTGGTGGGTTTGTTGTTTCGTTTGCGCCTTTTTTTTTTTTTCCTCCTAACTGATAGTACAGAAGAAAACGAACTCCTGAACCGCAGGCAATTCCTTGCCGCAGTAACATGAATCCGAGGCAGAAACGCTTCGCCTCAGGACTCAGCTGGAATAACTGAGCCAACAGCAGCTGTGAAAGAGACAGAAGGGCGAGGGGCAGCCCCGGGGGCCGGGCCAAGGCCCGTTCCCTCCGGCCCCAGCCTCAGCCCGCCCCGCCCGCCCCGGCCTCACCTTGCCCGGCACGCCGCGGTGGTCGGTGCTGCCCTGCCAGAAGCGGCGGCGG